TCCACCATAATGTGAAAGGCGTGCTTGTTGGAAAGGAACATAAGAAGCAAACAGAGACATTACTGCTGGTTTTTGTTAGTGGATGAAATAGAGGCAGATAAAAGGTAGGAGATGATGGGTTGTCCCTGAGCAACCTTTTGTTCGCCCTCATACGCCAGACCAGAGACCAGGGCTTCGAAAGCTATGGTTTGGGACAAATGAAGGGCCACAAGTCTGTCATTCCACGTGGATCACACAAGGTGTTAATAAGCATGGCGCCAAAGGGGAGATGGTACGTTTTAGAAAATTAAATGTTACTCGTGGGCAGAGCAACTGAAAAAACAATGTGTAGAAAAAAATGCTACTAGACCAGAATGTGACCAAACAAAGTTCAGAGCAACAGTACCCAGACAACAAATGCAAGAAATCACACAAAACTGTGGGTTTGAGGGACTGAATGAAAACCCCTCAGCAGAGAATAAGACAGAGCTCAGCCAGTACAACCATGACTAAAAAACATTTTGCCTGCTTTTGTTTTGCCTAGTGCATTTTTGTGATATGCTACTTGGAGAAATACAAAACTGGCTTTCCACAAAGAAACAATGAGGAAAAAAAAAATCTAAAACTGTCCAGATTCTATTGAAATTAGGAACAATGTGACACATTTCTATCGAAATCAAAAATGTTTTTCAATGTGGAAAATATGGAAGACAAAGCAATGTCAGGGGATGAAAGCAAATCAAAGCCCCTTGTTGAGGTTTGAAGCATAGTTTCAGGAAGTAAAAAAAAAAATCTTCTGAACCTGCTCATAGTTTGCTATATAATAGTATAGATTTCACTAGCATTTAACACAGCAACACCTGTGCATAACAGCTGTCTGGCATTAGGAAAAGAGGTCAATGTCTAGTCAAAAACACAACAGCTAAAACAAAAAAATCATGTGCCAAAATAACTTGCCAGCAATTAAAATGCTGAAAAGCAGCATAGTTGTGGGGGCTTTTGGAGACAGTCCACTGGCAGTTCAGGACTTCTTTGGAATGATGTAAGCAGCTCCATAACAAAGAAATTGATGAGATTTTTGTCAAAATCGATCGATAAGATGGATACAGTTGAGAAAATAGGGTCCACACATAGGAAAAATGGCCCGACTTACTGTATGTGTAAGTCTGTGAAAGCTGTGGGTCTGTGTACTCAGAATCAATTCCAGTTTGCCTCCACTTCACACTGTGGCTCAAATAACGACGATTTGGTGGCAAATATGCAGTCTGTGATGGACCACCATCATAACGACATAATGACAGTGTGCAGTAAAGATACTTGGCCCGTATTTTTCTGCAGTTCATGCTGGATTTGAGAGTCAATAATGTAAGCATGTGTACAAGAGCGTGCATTTTTAATGTCATAAACCAGCATTCTTCTTTATGAACACCCAGCTTCCCCCACCTCCAATCTGGCCCACCCTTAATGTGACAGCTCTATGTGAAAGTACAGCTAGAGCTCTTTTCATTAGGTTGGTTTCTTTCGTTCTCTGTTCAGTGCCTTACATTGTCAAATTAGACAGCAGAGCGATGATAATGGATCCATTAACGGTCAGTAGGAGGGAACAATTACTTTTGCATCACCAAGACTCCATGTTTCATTACCTTGCAAAGAAAATTTGTGGCAGCAACTTGACTTTTTTTTTTTAACCAACTATAAACTCCTTCACTGCAGAGAAAGATGGAACCCAAATCAATGTACAAAACTGGCACAAATACAGAAGATCACACAGCCTTGGAGCGATTTGACCGTCGCTGTGCTTTTAAGTCTGAATTTGTCATTTATCTTTATGTTGTTTGAATTTCACAATTCAGTCCTTCAGCTTATGACACTGTTGGTAATTTCCATTTTGTGCAACAGTAGCTTCAGTGCAAGGTTCAGTGTCCTAGCATCCAGATAAAATAAATATAAAACAGAAACTAAGGACAAGGTTTTACATAAAAGCAGAGGTCAGCATCTGTTACTTCTTTGTCTCTGGCTCTGTTCAGGCTGCAGCTGCTTGTTGGTGACGATCACATTCCTACTCCTTTCAATTAGAGATTTTGATTAAATGTGCACCGTGTGATGCAGAGCTTCAGTGTTGCAGTTGCCTCGTGAACATTAGGGAACAAAATAGTCTGTTACTACTACTACTACTATTGTTACTACTGTGATGAACAACTATAATGAGTTCACATATACACAGGGCACTTTAAAATCTACAGTATGTAGCAAGAGGTATGGGCAATTTGTTACTGTCACATTAAAAATACATGACTAAGTATAGTGCATTCTGATGAATGCAGTATAGCAGAGAACAGCCTGATGAAGCATAAATGAGTGTAGCCTGCTGCTGTGTTTTGAACTAAGGCTGATGTGAAACATAACAACAGAATTTTCATGTCTCCTTCAAAAGTATATAGACACATTATTCAAATTTAATCTAGTGAAATATTTTAACTGTGAATTACAACTTGACTGTATTGTCTTTGGACAACACCACTCTCAAGTCACCAAGTCATTTTTAGTTGTAGGTGCTGCTTATTTTTCAAATCCTGTCAAGAAAAAGTCCAGAATTGCTTTTCTATATATGTGCTTTCATCATGCAGGTGTGTCACACAACCTACTTCAGCAACCTGTGCTGGAACTGAAGGTGACTCGGTGACTTTGAGCTTTTTGAGTGATTGTCGGAGTCACCTCTGCTTGTTTAAATACAGCCGGTGGTGCAACACAGAAACATATTCTTCAACAACCAACCTCCTCTTGACGGCTTTCTTCATCTTCTGTATTGAAAAACCAGGGGTAATCAATTACAAAGCAAGCTACAGAGACCACAATGTGCATGTGTATCAGATAGGGGTGTTTGTTTTAGCCTCCTTCAAATTGCAGCCCAGTGAGGTTTATTGCATCACCTCCTCCCAGAAAAGCATATGAGCTGACTTGATTTGATCTGATTTTGATTTGATTTGATTTATTCTTTCAAGCATGTAAAGACAGTTGATATGTCAACACACATAATTTTACACATATCCAACAAATGCTAATCCAATATCAATTAGCTTATACCTAGTACATGGTTGAATGGAGTAGGAAGAAGTCAGACTTATCCAGTCCTACCCCATGACATCATCTTACCATTTGAGCTTTTAAATACACTGCTTTACAAGTGACCTCCTCTTCTTCGCCTGTCCTTGTACACCTACTCATTCATGCATTAATACACGTCTGCACAGGCACACATGCACAATTACGCACATCCAGTCATGACTTCAGCTGCTCCTTCCAGGCTATTTTATTTCATTTTATTCCCCTTGAGATTTTATCACTTTTCCCCCACACATCATCATTTGTTATCTGATCCACTCGTCTTTGGCCAAGATCTTGTTTTGTTTTATGTTGTTTATTTATTCACTTACTTGTTTCCAGGTAAGATGCTTCATAAACCTTATACCAGTGTTGTTTTTCCAATGCACATTAGAATCAGAATCAGCTTTATTGGCCAGGTGTGTTGGACACACGAGGAATTTGACTCAGGTATTAGCATTTACTTCCTGATTGTATCTTTTTATCTCTTCCCAACTATGCTTCAGCACTGTGCAAATACAATAACTAAGTTGAGAGAATTGCATGTCTCTCATCATTCCCTCCCCCGCACTCCCCCACAGCTGCCCACCCACCCACCGACATCCTTTGAGGCAGAGCTGCGAGCGCCTCTGTGTTTAGTTTTGTTTGCCTATATAAAGCCTCATCAATAATGCAGAGGTCCCTGACTCTGCTTCCATACTGTGGAAGCTCACATGGGTTTTCTTTTCCCCCTGCTGCCGAGCAGCACAGAGTATAGCTGTGCTGCTGTCGGGTTTAAACTGCCTCAGAATCATAAACACCAAATTAATCAGGAATCTGAAAAACCACTCAAGCTCTCACTCCTACAGGAACAAAGATTTGAGAAATGTTTAAAAGTTTTACAAAGGTGACGAAATTGGCCGATTCAAGTGAAGAGATGAAAATGATCAAAGTTTAGATATGAGGTTTCTCCCAACTACACAGCTATGGAAAAAATAAGATGGCAGAATAGGAGAAGAAGAAATGATTGTGTGAACAAGCATGAGTAATGAGTATGCAATCAGCTCTCGGGGTCAATGTATTTTTGTGTGATTAAAAGCCCATCTGACACAATAGGAGCTATCCCAATTAAATTCATCTCCTAGCACTCGAGTCTGGCACATTCAAAGCAAGTCTGAGATGTGCTTGCTTTGAAAAAGATTCACAGAAAAAGAAACAGGCAGAACCAGATCTGCTCCTATCCTTCCATACAAGTTTGAAAGAAAAAACTGAAAAAGCAATTACCCTAACGTCAGCTCTCTGCACAGTATGTCCGTTCTGGCTGACCCTGGCTCTGTCCCTCTGCTGCACAGGGCACGGAAGACCAAGGCTGTTTCAGCCCACTGAGAAACATGACTAGTGGTGAAGCTGAAGGTTGGTTAAATAGAGAAGATGAGGCAGAGTGTTTCTGCAAAATCAACCAGAACTGACTCAAACATTTCAGCGATAAATTATCTTGATGGTTTTTTTTTTACCCGTATGCTATACATAACATGTGATTAACTATCCTGGTTGTTCCTATGTTTATTTCCAAACTTTTGTGTTTGCACTTACAGCGTATGTTTCCAGAAAAGAAACCGTGGCTACACAGGAACTGATGCGTTTTACATTTCTCCTTTGTTTGCAATTATGAGATAAGGCAGGATGCAGTGGTCACCATAGCTGAACAGGCAAAAAGAGAAACTCTAACTGCACCACCAGCAACTTTGAAGAAAGAGGACACCACAGCCCCTGCTACTGTTTGACTGACAGGTAAAGTCTGGCAACACAACAACAGCAATGAGTATTGTGGACAAAGATGAGGACATGAAGACAAAAAGCTGGTCATGAATTGGACTTCTGACAGATGATACAGGTTTTAATTTCCACACCCTGGTAAGACTTACATGTGTGGGAACAAGCGCGGCTGGGTAAGCCAGTTTGTGGTGTCTCCACATCCAGAAGGAGAAGAGAACAACTGCAGCCAGGCCTATGATGGGAACCAGGGAGTAAAGCAGAGTGCTGAAGAGCTGGGGCTTCTGGGAGAATGGGTTGGAGGTGGCTGTGAAGAGAGGGAGAGAAAGAGAGAGAGGGAGAGAGAGAAAGAGAGAGAGAGAGAGAGAGAGAGGAAAAATGAACACAACAGACTTATGACTGGCTTATTTGGTCTTCACAGAATAAAAACAAAAGCAATGAGATATCAAAAACTATGGACATTATCAGGGAGAAAGCAGAAATGAAAAAGAAAGACAGCTAGGAAAGAAAGAAAACAGCAGGCCTGCTTGGCCTGACATTGTGCTACATCATGTCTAAGTGCAGCACTAACCCTACTTACAGCTTACTGCCACTGTGCTTAGGGAGCACATCAACGCTCATACACACATGCACATACACATGCAGCAAGATTAGCAAATCCATCTTGTGACACAACGTAATCCGCCTGCCAAAAATAACAGAGCTCTGAACTGTGCCCGACCCCTGTAGGAGCCAGTGGGCGACACCTGCTGCCTCAGCCCGTCCCCTCATCACAAGATGTGACAGAGTGATTTGGCAGTGCTCTTAAAGCCCCGACGCCCGGATGCTGACTGCCACTGCCGTCCACGGGTGGGAATGAAAGGGAGGAAAAGATGTAGGAGACAGGCAGGAGACGATGTAGCTGCACCAGCTGCATCATGGGACTCTCAGGGAGACTGTGGAAGGTTGTTCTCTACAGGGTGTCTGCAGGTTGCAGAAAGTCAAATTTAAAAGGCATACTAAGAGACAGACTGGCCTTTTTTTAGCTGTAAACTCAGAAGCACAGGGACAAAGAATTGCCATTGCACAAAAATATCATGGGCTGGTCAAGGCAGTGACATATAATTGCATTCCAAACAGTCATGTGTGTTTCCTGGGGAGGTCAGCTTTGCTGTTCCAAGCTAACTCTTGGAATCCCTCTGGAAAACAACATTGAGAGTCCCATTATGTAAATTCTTTGCTAAATACGTCCCCTTGCTAATTCTCTGCTCTCAGCTTATTTCAGTCTTCTCTGTAGATTCAGTGCTTTGAGTATACATCAGATTTACCACATTAGGTGTAAATATACTGCATACTGACACATTAGCAGATACTAATATGTTATTATAAATTCTTACTTACACATTGGGCACTAGTTCACAACAAGCAGCCTAGACATGAAGTTAACTAAAACATTTTCACTAGATTTCACATAATCAAAAACAAACAAGTTTTAATAATACTGTTTATCTTGTATTTTAATAAGAGGCAACTTATTCCTGGTTCACCTGTAATTGAGTGGTGTACACCTAAATAAAGCTGTAGTACAAACCTGGTGTTAACACAGTGTTAGTGATTATCAGTGGAATATTGTGTGTGTGTGTGTGTGTGTGTGTTTGTGCACGCACATGTTGGACTGTACATACTGTAGGCAGTTGAATGGTGCGGGTCACTTTGTGGGGGTGCTTCAGGAGCATACAGGAACCTCTCGTTGCACATGTTGCCTTCACAGCAGCAGAAGAAAACGTCGGGACTCTCCTTCCTCTCCACACACTCATTACTGTAGAGAACAGGGAGGTAGAAATTAAAAAAAAAAAACCACAAGGAACACACACTCACAAACCTCCCCTCTCTTTCCTCTGCATACTACAAAGGACATGGAAGCTTTTTTTTATGTGTGTGTCTGAGCACAGGCACAAACAAACACTTTACCTGCTTGTGCATGCAGTTAAACACACTTGTGCACAAATGAAGCAGCATGAATGCACACAAACACACACTCTTCTCCTTCCTTTCTGTTCCCTCGCTGCCGCAGGAGCCATGAAAGAATAACATTTATAAAGTAACTCCTACACACACCACATTGCAGACATGCAAACAAGCACACATGTACATGAACAATCAAACGCACACACTCACTCACTCACTCCCTCCCTCTCTCATTCGCACTCACACAACCATCAGATAAAAGCCAAAGGAAGTGGCATCCGCCCTCAACTTGCTCTGGACTCTCCAGGGAGGCGAGGCGGCGCCGTCTGAGCAGAGGTACCCAAACTGAGGGGGCTACAGAATCTATAGCTACCTTATCGCTCAGGAATCAAAGGAAAACACAAGCAGAACGGGCTCAAACTAGCATCTGATACCAGGCTGATGTACTAGTAAGGAATAAACTATAATAATACCATCTATTCATATTTGTTTACTGTTGTGTACTTCAGATGCTTGGTTGCATACATCAGACTTCATTGCCTGTGGTAATTAAAAACGCAGCCTTGTGGAAGTCACTCAGATGTGGACGCACACATGGACAGACTGAGGACAAATGTATTTAGAGTCAGGCCTTCCTCATGAGGTGCTGGCTTTGACCTGTTTGAGAGAAATCAAGTCCAAGTCCAATTTGTTCAATGGCTTAAACTCATGAAGCGGAAAAATGCTTTGGTTTTTATTAAGCTCTTATTTTGGTATTTCTTATTTTCTGTACTCATGGAAGCACAGACAATGATCACAGATCGTAGTCCATGATTCAGTGCATTTATCTGTTCTTTAATTACAACCAGTATATTGAAATGAAACCACAAATTTCCCAGAAAACCATCAGAAAGTTCCCAAGCTTTTATACTACAAAAGGATGTTCATTGGTCACTGAAAGCCAAATATAAGAATCTGAGACATTTTAAATGCTGCCAGGAATTTCATTTAAAAGGCAACTTTACAAGCAAATTTACACTTTATTTCAGAGTGAAAACCAGCGACAGAGAATCAGAACCTAGGTGGGCAGCAGACCAACTGTGTTTATTAAAGGAAACAGGATGCAGCAGTTTTTGAGCACTGTAAACACTGAAAAAAGACTTGTAACAACTAAAATGCAGAAACATGGCCTAAAACTCAAGTGTTTCAGGTATGATGTGCTGAATGCCAGTATTTTTTGTGGTTACCCTCGTACCTGTCGTAGCAGTTGACATCGTCCAGCCAGCAGCCTTGCTTGACGACCTCGACGGTGCCGGAGACATTCTTCCATGTGGCGAAACAGTGCCGTCGCTTGTCTTTCTCGCCATAGCAGGGCTCGATGCCGCTGCGGTTGGTGCGCTCCTTCTCCCAGCTGGAATTGTAATAGACGCACTCCTGAGTCTCTGAGCGTCCTAGGATGGCACCTGGAGAGGACAAAGGGGACAACTTTGAAGGAGAGTGTCACTGTTAAGAAACAATTTGTGTATTGTTGATTTTTTGGTAGGAGGAGTTAAATATCAATCCAACATTTTGCCACATAAACCCTCAAAAAATTTATGAAAGCATCTTCTGAATTTGGGGATTTACAAGCCACACTGGCTGGATGATGAAAAAGTTATTTTCCTCCACTGTCACTGACAAAGAAGATCATTTAGATTTGTATCAGTAACTGGCAGAAGGGCATTTCTTTATAGCGTCAAAGTATGACAAGCAAAGCTGTAAAACATTTAGTAATAAAAAAAAGTCTACTTTTGTGGACTTTTTTTTTAATCAAGTACTTTAGAGTCAATACAGCAATGAAAAATGAAAGCTTTTTCAAGATGAACAATAAAAACCAGCCAGGCATGACCGATGAAAATGGGGTTATAAAGGAACACACCAGCAAAGCAGAGAAACCAAAATCCTCTTCACAAACACAATCAAAGTGAGCCAATCGACTTCCCTCCCCCACCAAAATATAGGCGATTCTGATTTCCAGCAGGTGAACACAGGCAGCAGGTTTTTGTAAACCAATATGCGGGGAAGTGACTGTATGACAGCTCGTCAGTTTAGCGCTGCTGCAGCCTCTCATCACCTGTCGGTCAGTTAGTCAAGCTAGACTGCTGACAAGACTGATACTCAGCCTCCGCTTGCCTGCTTCCTGGCATCGCACTCCACAGGATTCAAACACAGAGGAAACCAGGACTGCCTCCTATGCATCATTTTGCTTGTGCTCTTAAAGATGCAATAAAGAGGTTTTTACAAGATGACCATGTTGACTCTCTGTCGTCCGTATGCACTCCACACAGCTCAAAGCAATGTTCTTGACCCAAAAACTGAAATATCATTATTTATAAAAGGTGAAATTTCTTCCCTCTCACTAAGACATTTCTGCTGAGTTCCACACTTAACAGCCAGTGTACACCTCTCTGTTGGGAAAATGTGATTTCACTAGCTTGTGTCAACGACAGCTCATTGTGCCCCGGTAAAGGAAGACAGTGCATGTGTCGGTCAAATGGTTATAACTTCACGAAGCTGCAGACATATGTTACATAAGTTTGCAAAAATCGCAGTGTTCTCAGTGCTCACAGCTCTCATCAGCTGCAACAGTGCTAGGGCAAAGGTAACTGCTGCTGTTGGAACATTTAATCTCAAATAGCCTTGGTTATTTATGTTTTTACCTGCCTTATTTGCTCTAAATTCCCATTTTTAAAATATCTCACTCTCTCTTTGCACTTTTAACTTGACCAGCTTTTATTTATGTTGCTTTTAATGTCTCAAAAGTGCATGGCAAATCAAGAATAATGCTCAAGTTTATGTGATCATTAGCCACTCTCGTGTGCTAGTGAAATAACACTGCAGAGAGGTATCCTGTCCACGCTGATTGTGTCTCCAGTCACAGTAGCTTCCAGAAGTTAGGGCTTAATGGAGGTCAGCTTGAGGAAGATCATGTATTTTTCAATAAAATGGCTGCTTAAGCAAATGCCAGCTCAAGCCGTGGAAGCACTGCAGGTCTTTTTTCAACAACATTAACAGCTGCAGATGGGAGAGAGAGGAGAGCAGCTGCTTCACTGGTAGGCGAGGTCTCCGTGCCTCTTAGCAGCACTGACGGCATTTTCTCCCATCAAATCCATTTCCCACGAAGCCCCAGACTATTTCACAGCAACAGGTGCAACTGTAAACTGTTGCCTGCATGGTCGAGGACAAATGGCTGAAGGAAAGAAAGATATGAGAAAAGCAGTCTGGGCTGATGAACGAGCAGTGTCTGAGCAAACTTGCAGTATACTGAAAAGACTGAAATGATTGGTATTTATATAGAAATCAACACAGGGAGAACTATGTATGGCCCATGTAGACAAACATGGTTAAACCGACACAGAAATGCCTGCTTGTGGAAAAATGAGAGTTTGCCCAAACGTGCACATCAGCATAAATCACAGCTGTAGCTGGCAAATCTAGCCAAACAAATGAAAATCATCCCCTCAGTCATCACAAGCTACTGCAAAGAGTCCCTCAAGCAAGACACTCAAACTGAAAAGATAAGGTGTGAAGCATTATTATTGAAAAGACAGGTCTTCCTGTCAAGCCCACAAAATGTCTGTGTCAGCTAACAAAAGAGCTCCCTTAAGAAAATAATAGAAATAATAAATTATACTGAACTTGAGTGCAGAGTACTGGGTTACAATATTCCATCATGCCTTCAGGGTATTGAGTTCCAACCACATCAGGAAGTTTAGAAAACACAAATTTTTACTGTGACCAGAATTTTAAAAAATTATATATTTTATAACCACAGATCATGTTAAGATCATGATCATGTTAAAGCAAGAAAAGATAAAAGATTGGTTATTTTCCTTGAAAGATCCAGTCCTCATATAACCCACCTCAGTGTAATACTGCTAAACAATGATGGTGTGTGTGCACTGTATGGCGCCTGGTTTTTAAGTTTTTTGTTCTTCCTGGCTGGGGAGGAATGCATGGTTCCCCTCACTGGCCCTTGTGGGAGCTGAAGGCACTAATGATGGAGAGGTATGCAGCAGTAAAGCGGAAGGTTAGTTCATTAGCCACTTCTGGTGTAACAGCATTATCTATGCTAGTGCTGATGCCCATAAGCGCTACGTCAAGGTGCCTGGCATATGCATTTCCATTTAACTAGGAGTGATTTACAATGAATGAATGCAGCAGCAGGATAAGCCTGAGTTCCTGTGTCAACTTCATTACAAACAACTCCTAATGATGAGAGTGTAGTACACAGAAAACAGGGGAAACAAATACTGTATACTTGTGTTGCCAGAGAACTGACGTAGAATAAACAGAACCAGGATAAAGCGAGCCATAAGTGCTAGATAATCTAGATTTTTTTTAGGTTTAGTTTGCATCTGAAACACAGAGAACCCTCTGACAAACCACAAGGTGTTGAAAGTATAAGACAAGCAATAGTTTTAAAGAGAGTTGGAACTAGCAGTTATTTTAATTACTGCTTAATTTGCTAGTCATTTGCTCCAGTAGTCAAATAATTGTTTTGTCTACAAATGTCAGAAAATAGTGAAAAATTCTCCTGTACGATTTCCTGGAGCTCAAGTAAACACAGTAAAATTACAAAGATGGAAACATGCTTCTTTACTGTAGATATGACAACAAACACTTTGACTTGACATTTAATCCAAAACCAAAAGATACTCAGTTTACTATGATATATGAAAGTTAAAAGAATCAAACCTTCACATTTGAGAAGCTGGAACCAGCAAATGTTTGGCATTTTTGCTCAGTAAAATAACTAAAGCGATTAACTGTTTAATAAAATAGCTGTCAATTAAGTTTTGGTAACTGACTTATCTTTGCAGCTCTAGGTACAAACAGTTGGTATGTTTAAGTAGCAGATAGCAGATGACTAACAGTCAAGTTTGTTTACTGTGAGAAGAGCTGCTTTCACATTTCTGATGCCCTCCGTCTTCTGAGCAAAGCACTGAATCAACCTGGTGTTTCAAGTTGTGCGATGGCCAGAACTAAGCTCCTCGCTTGAAGTCAATCTTAGGCTGTATACATATATAAAGCACATGACAAATGTAACCCCATTTAAACTGACAGCAAGCTGAAAATGAGGGTGCTCAAATTCAAAGAGGAAGACAAAAAGCTTATTGTCTTTGTTCTTCAGCCAAGGCAAGCTGCAACACCTCAACAGCACCATTGATAACGCCTCCATTCAGGTATGACATTGTGTGAGAAAGAGCTGTGAGCTATGTGAACCGCAAATACAGCGCTTCATTATGAATACTGCCTTTAAGAGCTCAAATCAATCACTTCTCTGAAATGAGGTGACAGTACAGGCAGCCTGCCTATAGCGCCATGTGCCAAAGGTAGGCAGGAGCTGCTCGACGGTATGGCGGATATGAAGGATATAAAGCAGGGAAATCAATCATCTGACTAAGTCGCAGCTCAGAGTTCACTAAAGCGAATAATGTCACCAAGTGCAGAGCTTATATGAGCGATTGTGCAAGGAAATACAAAAAGGCTTCCACCCACAGCCACACATCCAGGAAATAAAGAGACGCTTCTTTGTCTCCAAGAGATATTTCACACATGGTAATGTCAAACATGAGTGGCATATGCTCACTTTCTTTGCCATAATAAGCTTGGCTGGAGAGAAAGAAAGACAGCACTGGGCAAATACAGCTGCGTGCTATTAACGCAATGCAGTTTTCTTAGTAATAACGTTAGAAACGTATATTAAATTCACCAAACGCTAAAGGAAAATGTCACAAACAGCACTTGCAGACATGTTTCACTGTGCGGTCACTTCTGAGTGTCCCATAAAAGGAGAAATGTGCCGGTCCTTTACTTAATCAAGATAAATATTTGCTCACAGGAGTGTCTTACAATAAAAGTTAGTCAAATCACTGCAGCACCTTAAAGACAGCATGTTTCCCCCTGTGCAATTTCCTTTTCTATTTCTTCTCAATAAAAGAAATGACCACATATGTAGCAATTCACTTCCCCAGTCATACAAGAGATTTATCAAGGTTAACCACAACCTACTTTATCTGTGGACATTTCAGCAAAATGTCTAAATACCCAGCCCGCTTCTCAATTCACAGGGGCTTTTTGAAAAGCCGTTTCTCACCCCTCCTCACCTCCCACTAGCTGCCTGGTGGCTCTGAAAATCCACTCTGATATTTTAAATTGACATTTTGTGCATTTAGCTAGTGCTATCCACAGTGATAAAGCTCCCAGTTCCTACAGCAGCAAACTGAAAAGAAATAAACTGTAAGAGTGTAAAGTATTCCTGCAGCCTGAACAGACTGCAAATGGGGTGTGATTCACTAAAGATAATGTCACATGAAGATGGAAAAGACGGTGAACTTGGCAGAGATGCTCTGACTGATCATCTGCAGTCAGCTTGGAAAATCGAACCTTTTGTCTGGTGGTCAAGAGGTCATGTTAGGTA